CTGACGTATGGAGTTGTGATACGACCTAGGAATGGCCATAATTGCCGCGAAGAACTGTTCGATATAGATAAACCGTCATAGTTGATTTGCAAGCCAACATGTTGAAAAGTACCGTAGTCAACCCAACTATCTAGATAACGCTGCAGATTTTCCTTCAGTCCAATGTGATAGTAAACACCTTGTCCAAGAAATCTAGGTACACACATGCCGCTATCTTTTAGCAAGCCTCTTATGGTTGTTGGTACATGTAGACTAAATTTACGCATACAGTCCAAGATATCTTGCGCAAGAACCCCTGTTACATTGTTCCTAAGTAACAATTCCATAATTGATTTTCTGACCAGCTCTTTTTGTGTCATCTTTTCGGGAACAATCTGAAGTTCTATTAAAACTAATTAATACATAATAATAAATGTTACGGTTCTCTTCAATTTGTGAAACTACAGCGACGGTCTCACTAGTACTAGGTATACCCACTGTTCCCTGTATAGTTGAACTTGAAGGCAAAGGTACTGTATTAACCCTTGCCACCTCTTCTCTAGATGAGGAGTAACGTTTCCAGAAGTCCCAGTCACTAAATGCTGCATCACGTAACCGTTTTTGACGGCGGTAAAATGTGGAGTAGCTGTATCCAAGGCATTCATGCAGTCTGCCAGAAGATATTCTTCTCTTACGACTTGTTGCAGAATGTTGAATGCCCGAATCTAATACATTATCTGAGTTGTTTTCCTTATAATGGAAATGGACAAATATACACCCAAAATATAACTCACCTGCATGATTTATAAATCCTGTAAGAATGGTCTCTGTATGTAAGGAGTACTGCTTATATACCTCTAGGCAAACATCCGTTTTTTTAATATGAAAGGGGATGAAAGGTGAGCTGTAATCACAACTGTTAACACTTTCCCTACAGCAAGTATATGTTTTCATCTGTGAATCAACACAATCACTCCCCCTCTGGTTTCCTTTTCATACCCAAGGTTTTAATATATTATAAAATTATATTTGTAAAATCTCAGCGAAATTTACATTCTACTTATGACAAGTCTCGTTTTTCATCTGTGGGATTTCAGCCCCCCCCCACCCTCACTTTTGTGTTTCATATTTCGTTATATTTCATTCATGATAAGTATATAATTTCATCTGTTATAGTTAACCCACTTTTTGTTCTAATGTTTTTCGACTTTTCAATAGTGGGCCTGTCAAACGTGAACCGTTATCAGTAATACTTACATATAAATCATGACAATTGTATTCGCTCGACTGTTTAATGTGCATTAAACATGGTCCAATATGTTCTCTTAAAATTGTTTCCGTTTTACATCTTTGACCTCATTTTTATTGAGCTGTTATGAAATTTCGAAATGATACACGAAAAATTTTTTCCCATAGCTGATAAAATACTTATTAGACACAACCTACCTGGCTTATAATTTTTTTTCATTTGTGACTTCGTCTCAACTGAATTGTAATGAAGTTCAAGGACGTTTCACAAACGAAATACATTATTCACTACAATCTTCACATGTGATCAATTCACATTCCCCTACCCCCTGTTGAATTTCGTTTTCGTTGTATTCTTATTAACTCTCACACCTCTGGTCAAATAGACCAATCACATCATAGGTAATTAGCAGACATGTATGTAGCCGTCACACTACATACTCTGTGTGAAACCTACTCTTTGCTGATTGGTTGGTTTCAACATGCTATGTCGAGAGAGAGAATGCTTTTTTTCAGCATTACTCGGAGCATTTAGGCATGCAGTGCTTATTTTCAGCATTGAAGGCATTATTTCAGATGCTGATCTTTTTTTTAAGATTTTGTCGCATTAATTCAGCACCCAGCTCTCTTTTTAAGCACGACCAGCGTTATTTAAGAACATAGTGGGTAGAAAAAATTTTCATTTACCATAAAAAGGCATTATTGACGCATAGGTTAGAATAAGTTTAGAATTGTTGTATGCTTGTGCAGATGCTTCGACGATATCTGGGCATTTGATTAGAACTTAATTTGTGGATGGTGACTAGCAGTGGAATCCAGGATGTGCATGGGAACGTCATCACTCTCTGGGGAATACAGGTACATCCAGATGACGAGTCCAAAATAGGACGAAATGCGCCTTCTGGATTCCACTGCTAGTCACCATCCACAAATTAAATTCAAATGAACAAACTGTCGAGTATTTAGCCTTCTCTTGTGTTCTGCACAAGAAGCCGACATGTCAACGTGAGACCGAACACTTCGGTTCAATCAATCGACGGGAGCTTGTTCGTTTGTTTAAATAGGAATTTGATGACTCAGGGGAGATTGTAATAATAATAATTTTTGCTTTATTCCAAAAACAGTACTAATGATACAGCAAGGAATTTTCAGCATTCAGTACAATATTGCATCTAATTTACTCAAAAATGATAAAAAATAAACATTACATAATAGTAATAACAAAACGTTGTTATAGCAGCTATTTAGCAAATTACTGCATGCAATACGGAGAAAAGTATGCATAAAGTATAAATTATAGTAATAATAGTAATAACAACTAAAATAGAAATAGCAAAGTTATAATTAAACGATAGAAAGGGTGACACCATAAAATTACAGAAAGATGAACAATGAAAGGGGCGATTCACTTTGCTAATTACAAAGTAACTTATATGTTTCACGTCTAACAGAGTCTTCATCACATAAAATACGGGATAAATACGGTATTTTAGAATTTTTGTACTTAGTGGTTCGAGCATATAACTTTTTATATTGACTTCCTGTCGTACCTGATGAGATACAAGGGGATAGTTGTGAATATAGGGGGGCGCAGAGGGTCTGACAGTACGGCCTTTGCCCATTTTGTACAGGAATTTATGTCTCTCAACTATAATATTGGCGAGATGATTTGCTTCCATATTCATTTACGAGTACATTTGTATTGTCCTAATGAGAACAATTATAGTATACATTGAGATATTCACCTGGGATGTCCTTTTTAGTGGATCAGTTTAGTCAATAGGCTCTTTCTTATTCAACATAAAAGTTTGGACGACACTTCACAGTAAACAAAAATTCAATTTATGTGGAAATTGTACATGGTTTAGGGATATTCCATTCATAAACTCAATAATAATAGTAGTAAGGATAATGTGAGTCAAAGCATTATCAGCTGACTGAGTAACCTTCAGCAGGTACTCTCCTAGTTTACATTCTGATGAACTGGTTGTGTGACAGGTTATCTTGATGTGACACATTTGGAATTTACAACAACATTAATAATGATGCTCCACGCTCGACCTGCCATTGATTACTCAGGAGATGAAGAACGGAAACTTCAATGAACATCTAAGAAGGATGGGAAGCACAGAACATCTATCACAATCAGTACTGAGCATTAAAAGTTTTCAAAATTTACCCATTATGTATGAATTAGTAAACAGACAATGTAGTCGCATAAAACTGAACGATCCTCAGCCTACTGAAAGCAGTTTAGTGATTTCTACTTGGTCAGAAAAAATTAGTGGTTTTCTGATAATGACATCAGTGGTAAACGTGATCAATAAAAGTTGCGTACAAAGCCTGTAATAATAATAATAATTTACTTTATTCCAAAAACAGTACTTGTGGTACAGAATGGAATTTTCAGCATTAATCACAATATTGCATCTAATTTCCTCAAATTATAAATAAAATTAATCACACAGAAAATTTTTCTGCATTTACAATAGGGTTAATATAAAAAAAATAAAAAACATTCAGCATATAAAATGGAAATAATAATAATGATAGCAGCTAAGGTAATGATAATAATACAAGTGGAAATTGCCGTGGGATTGTTTCACCCAGTATTGTCAATGCGGTATACAAATCCTTGCATGATTAAAAATACTGAATATGATGTTCTCTTTACATGATATGGTGAGGGAAACAACAAAGATTACAGCAGTCATACAGATAAGTTGGTGTTTGCAGTTATGAGAGTAAAAACAAAGAAGCAACAGCACCATAAATATAATAGAAATAATAAAAGTGAAACTTGAAGATAGATAAGGATGAATGGAGGAGATTGTTTATTTACTAGATGGAAAAAGGTTAGTCAATTCTTGCCTGACGCTATTTTCATCACATGAAATACGTGCCAAGTATGGTATCATAGAATTTTTATACTTAGACGTGCGAGCATACAGTTTTGTGAAGTCACTTCTTGTTCTACCTGAGGAGGAGATGCAAGGTGAAAGCTGAGGGTGCTGTGGTGGATGCTCCAAGTCAGACAAAATCCCTTTAGCAAATTTACTGCACGAAGTCAAGTGCCTGTCGACAGCGACGTTAAAAACTATATAGTCCACTGGGGGGACACCACTCATCCTACTGACAGTCTTCAACATTCTACGAATTGTGAAATAGTCCTTTTTAAGCAAACCAGGAAAGAATAAGGGTGAACAATAAAGAAGAATAGGTAGGATGCAAGAGTTTATGAACTGTAAGAGGAGTTACTTCTTGTTCTACCTAAAGCGTGTGTCGGAGGTGGGATAGAGCAGGTAAAATCTATTCACCTCTCTCTATCAAACCACCTAGTTGAACGATTACAGTATACTGTTGCCAGTTACAACTTAAACAGCAGCTTATCAGAATGAACAAGTGGATATAATGGCTTCGATGAACAATCGTTGAGAAATGAATATTTGTATGAATTGATGCAAACCTTGATTGTGAATCATAATAAGCACAAAAACCAGCGTTACTCATTCACATAAACGTCTGTTGAACATCCGTACCAAATTTAACCATCGATTACTCATTACAAAGAAAAGAAAAGGAATTTGTCGACAAGGTCACTACACTTCAGCTACAGTTAGCTACACAAGTTAAGAATGCACAAATTCTAGCTAATTCAATCACAAACATACACACACGCATACAGAAAAACAATACTCAATGCATTAATTAGAAGGCATAACTCTTTACTATTGTATGCCAGTGATTGAGTCAGTGGATCGTTATGCACGTACCTATCACGATCATATGGCATGATCGTATGATTTTTTAATTAATCTCATGATGTAATGTTTGTTGTTGACCTACTAAAATGATACTGGTAAGAGAGTCGTAAACAAGAGATTAGATGAAATCATTAAAATGCAAACTCACGACTGCTACTTTTCAGAAAGGTATAAACCATCTGGTTATATCATAAATTTGTTCCCCCTAATGAATTTGAACAAAGCAAGAACTACGATTTTAGCAGAATAAAATGGTACCATCTTTTATTTCATTGCCTTCTCGTCAGCTGCTTACAGGGCAAAGACATTATTAAATATATCTACAAAGACAATTTTAACATACTTACACAGAGTCCATTTTAAACAAAAATCAATCGATCAATATACGCATACACTAATAATATACACATATATATATATATATATATATATATATATATATATGCGATATTAAACACTATTCCGAACAATAATAATCATACACAATGGAAACTTTTCAGCATTTCGCATTCGGATGAAAGAGAGATGAAAAATATCCAGTTACCAGGGCAAAGAAAGACTGATAACCGCTTCTTTCTGGAAGCATAAATCAGGTTTCAGGCGCTTGATGGAGATTGCTTCAGCAAACTTGAGGAGAATTGAACTCTTTTGCCTATTGATAATTTTGGACAATCTTGCGACGTCCACCTCATGACCCGTGTCAAGGAGATGCCTGGCGATGGCACTGTTTAAAGCATTTGTTCCCTTTAGACATAAGCTTTTTGGTACATGTTCAGAAAATCGTAGATATGTCCTTCTTTCTGTCCTTCCAATGTAACTGCTCCCGCAGATACATGTAAATTTGTATATACAGTTGGAGTTAACATGAGAAGGATATCTATCGATTTTGATTGCACCAAAGAGCAAGTTGTTCGATAGACGGGAACGAGCTGAGCTGCAGGATAGGCTTTGGCTAGTGATGTGCTCAGTCTTCTGTTGATCATTGCTGCAATGTTTTCACCTTTATAATCAAGCTGAAAGTAGATTGGCTTTTTTTCCACTGTGATTTGTTTTACACTTGTGACTTCAGATCTTCCATACTTGTTGATGAACCTTTGAGGGTACCCATCGCTCTTCAATATCTTTTCAAGAAACTCAAATTCTTCCTCTAATTTCTCTATAGAGCATATTCTCCTCGCTCTATAGTACAGAGTCTTGACTAGTCCGCGTTTAAAGCTATTTGGACAAAAGCTATTAAAATGTAAGTATTATCCTTTCCATGTAGGCTTTCGATAAATTGACTTTTGAAGACTACCGTCTTCTAGGCGTTCCATGGCAATGTTGAGGAAGTGAAACTTTCCGTCACTTTCATATTCCATAGTAAACTCAATATTGGTGTGTGCATCATTGAATAATCTGAGTAAGTATGAAGCATGACTTTCATTGTTGCACACTATAAATGTGTCATCAACATATCGACAGTAGGAAGTTGTTTCGTTGATTGCATGCTTAAACTTTGTTCTTTCAAGGTTGGACATGAATATATCTGCTAAAACAGGGCTAAGTGGACTGCCCATAGCTACACCATCTATTCGGTTATATTTGTGGTGATCTCCCTTCTAAATGTTAACAGACACAGGGAAGAGTGAGATCCTATTATCCAATGTTGAGCTTCACAAAACACACAGTCTAACCAGTGAACTCTGTCCGCACCAAATAGCATACATTGCAAATATACAATAAAAAGAACACTCTCTAAAATGTTATTTTGGTGACTTCGATTCAACTGAAATCAGTTAATATGCTGAGTTTCGGCGACAAATGCCGACACAGAGCAGAATGTCTACATCCTCACGTCTGAGATTGTTGGGTGTTGGTGTTAAGCACCTTCATTTTTCGAACCCATTTACAATAAAAGGATGGGCGTTATTCAATCCTCTAATTACTAGTAACTAAATTCAACTATTGGCCTAACTACATATGGAGCTGTGGCTCATTGTTACAAAAACACTCTACTTCCATCTATAGGGTCATGGATTCGAACCGAGGTTTGGAGAACCAAGTAGCACCAGTCGTCTCTGCGAAATAGGAATAACACATTACGCACTCTAACAAACACATCAACCAAATACATTCTAATTTCTATACTCAGGAGATTGTACTACCACTTCGTTATCGCTTAGTAAGTTCAGAAAATCTTTTTCTATCCTTCACTTGTTACCTTCTAACCATTAATTCCAATAAAAAGGATTTCGTAACTTCAAATAAATGATCAGGTTACGATGATTACTTCTCGAATACAACAGATTTCCTGTCACATCTCTAAACATTCATTGACCTGAAAGAAAACACAACATGTGACGGACAATTCTTAACGAAAATTGAAACAACTTGCATTGTAGGCATTAGTTAAGGTGATATTTCACGTGTTAATCTCACCAAAACACGTAATTACACTTGAAATTCTGATAATCCAAAACAGTTATCAGTTAGCTGATTGAAAAATTGATAATATTCACTGAAAGTTTATCAAAAAGGTGTTAGATACTTGATAGATTACAGCACCAATGAATGTATAGGCCAGAAGCATTCGTTAATGTCTCATCAAGGCCATAAAATGAGCATATATATATATATGTTCATTTTGTTGATTTATTGACTCCAGAGGTATTTAAGTACGGAGGCGACAGTTTACTGTCTGCGTTAACGGAGGTTCTAGGCAGCGTCTGGGAATCAGAGGAAGTCCCATCGGGTTGGTGTAAGTCACTGATCATCCCGATATACAAGAAGGGGGACAAGTCGTCTTGTGATAATCACAGAGGGATTAGCTTGACTAATATAGTATCTAAAATCCTAGGCTCAATAATACTGCGTAGATTAAGTGGCGCTCGGGAGACACAAACACGAGAAAACCAGGCAGGTTTTAGGCCAGGTAGAGGGTGTATTGATCACATCTTCACCCTTCGACAGATTCTAGAACATAGGCATTCCTACCGGCGTCCGACAATCATTATATTTCTTGACCTAAAGGCGACATTCGATTCTGTCGACCGGGAGGTTCTCTGGCGATGCTTGGCTGTAAAGGGAATGCCAAGAAAATACATTGCACTGATTAAGGCACTCTACTCGTACTCATGCAGCCAGGTGAGGGCTTATGGCGAGTTGTCATCTGAAGTGGTGACGACTAGTGGCGTCTGTCAAGGATGCCCATTATCCCCATTCCTATTCAACTTCATCATAGATGTACTAATGGACTTAACCCTAACTCACTTCAGCGACTCAGGGATTGACTTGCTACCAGGGAATAATCTCGTTGACTTAGAATACGCGGACGATATAGTCCTTCTAGGCGAGGACTCTGACAAAATGCAGAGTCTACTGAACACCCTGAGCAACAATCTCCGCGTGTTTGGCATGCGATTCGCCCCTATAAAATGTAAGATGATGCTGCAGGATTGGACTTCATCGACCCCTAGATTAGAAATAGGAAGTGAAGTGGTAGAACACGTTGACCGCTTCACTTACTTGGGAAGTACCATCAGCCCAAACGGGTTGATCTCCGACGAAATTTCAGCACGAATACAGAGGGCTAGGTTCGCATTCGCCAGTTTTCGCCGTCTCTGGCGTAGACGCGATATCCGACTACCGACCAAAGGGCGTGTGTACTGCTCAACAGTCCGCTCCGTCCTCCTTTATTACTAGCTGTGAGACCTGGCCATTGAGATTGGAAGACATGAAAAGATTAGCTGTCTTTCATCATAGGTGTCTGCGTTCTATCTCCCGTGTGAAGTGGTATAATAAGGTGAGCAATATTGAGGTTAGGCGTCGAGTGCTAGGTAAGGCGGGGAAATCAATCGACGAGACTGTGAAATTACTTCGACTGAGATGGTTAGGACATGTGCTACGTATGCCTAGTCATCGCCTTCCTCGACGGGCAATGTTAGCTGATATAGGGTCAGGCTGGAAAAGAGCTAGCGGCGGTCAAACCAAAACATGGCACCAATCAATGAAATCCACAACAGTTAATCTAAGCCACGTAGAAAGATGTAGACTTCCTGGTTGGGGCCCTCGGGATGGTAAAAACCAATGGTTGGAAACAATTGGTGACATGGCTCAAAATCGTTCTCAGTGGCGCAGATGCATCCACTCCTTGTGACTTATGATTTCCAATTAAACTGTTTTGTTCTCCGTTATTACTATTCCTTTCTCTCACACCTCTGTTTACTGTCTATATTATGCATTTCTTCTACTTTCTTCTCTTGCTTTGCGTGCTACATAGATTGTGGCGACTTGAACTGCCGCACATATGTGCAAAGTTCTATGTCGAAAACCGACCGACCGACCGATATATATATCACTAAGTTCTTACATTATTTCTTACTGGAAAACTGATTCCTATTGACAAACAAATGTACATTAAGCCTGTATCTTAAGTCATTCTACTCAATTTTTACGAGCTGTGATCAAAATTTGACCAAATAGTTCAACAGACACATTGTCGAAACGATCTGTGTATAAGTCACAATCATTTTTGTGTATATGTACCTTCAATATTCTAATTTTGATTATTCCCACGAAGAAGTTCGAACCACTTCACCCGACGAAACCTTGGAATTATTTCTCTCAATTTCACTGAGATGCATACTAATGTCAGTTGCACATATCTCATTTTATTAAATGAGAACCGGGTGTAGACAGCTGACGAGAAGGCGGAGAATACAATGGATTAGAGGGATTCTACATCACTGCTTGTCCTTTCTGTTGTCAAATCATCAAGACTGAACATTCAACATGTTTCTCTACTTATATGCCTTACAGTTCATGAGTTATAATGAGTGTTGGTTTTCATCATCGATCCTGACTTTGATCTAGTCCGCTTCATGGAGTCATAACCGCTCGATCACAGATTTGTTCATTAATTCCTACTCTTGATACCTCGGAGGTGACAAGAATATTATTGACATGAAGTATCTTTGTTTGAATTAGCGACTCGGTACACTCTAGAAGTGACAGTGAAGCTCAAGATTTCCTACAAAGTGGTATTCATATT